CCCCAAAACCCCAAAACCCCAAAACCCCAGTTCTAATCTTTCAAGGGAAATTATAACTTAAACCTCTTATTCCCACTAGTCAGCACTTGGGAATAGTTCATTCTAGTTGATCTCCGATGCATGTTCCTGGTAAAAGTGGGGGAATTAGACAAGGCAGACCGCTTCCGCTTTGAAAGTGATTTCTCAACACTTCGAGATTGGTGGGCTCTAGAGATCATATTTTCCAACTTCGCACGGATTTCTGAACTACTAGTATTCTTGTCTCGCTCAAAAAGAGGTCGGATTTGGTCCTCTTTTTCTAGAGTTTTTATCCAAAGCAGTACTTACTCTTGCGTCTACGAAGCTGGTCAATATCTACAAGGCTCGAATTCCTCAGATTAAAGAGACTCGGAGTTCTCTGCTTGGTTTGGTCAACAGATTTTGCATGCTCGTACGGCTGTTTTATTTGAACTTGCTTGAAAAATGACTTTAAAGAATTAAGAATTTGGATAACCTTGAAATCTGAGTGGAACAGCCTCACCAGTAATGGTGACTCAAGGATGTCTATGCCTTTGTTCATCACAATCTGATTGTCCTGGCTAGAGTTTTAAAGACACCAAGCTTACAGCTCAAATTCTATTTCATCAAGTTGGTGACAAATGCTGTCAATTATTTCGATTTTATGCTTATTTTCAACCTTCTGAGTTTTAAAATTAACTGATCGCATAACATAATCATTCCTGATCATCTTCAGTGACTTCTGCATGATAAAAGGGACCTGGAAGGCCAAAACTGGAGACTGATTCCTCTCATAATCTGTAAGCTTGAGATATTTGTGGTTGATATCGTACTTATTGTAAGAATGCAATCTTGAATGATTCACTCTTGACCTTTGTTCCCCAAGCTTAGTGCTCACTGGTTTCTAAAAATAAATTCTAGAAAATACAATTTTAAACGTAGATGAGGTTCCAGATGCATTTTCAGGGATTTTCATCAATTTAATATTCTGTACAGGCTCCACTGGAGTCTTTCATGCTGTTTTTGTCTTTAAACTTTGGGAAAACTCGCTACTGCGACTGAGAGATTTGCTCTGGGTATGCTTCTTCATACTTTTCACCCACTTCCACCATTTATCCTCTTGGGCTTTGAGCTTATCAAAGTCGTCCCGGAGGTTAAGAATTTTGTTCTCTTCAACGCTCAAATTATGCTTTCTCAGCTTCTAAAAAATTAAATAGAAAGTACTTTCTCTTGGAGCTGGATATGGAGAGGTTTTCCAAGCCCTAAACTCAAGTTTATAGAGGGAATACCTTCATCGAGTTTGTCAGAGAGCTCGTTGTTCTTGATACCACCTTCCTTATTTATCTATATTGATACTAGCTCGCTTACCTTTCATAGACTTAAGTTTATTTGATCAACTTCTTGGTCTCATCACAGTCAAAAACCCGATGTACGAATTGGCGGATTAGCCTCCAATTTGGCTTATTTGTCCTTCTTAGTGAACATTGTGGTGTCCTCAAAGTGCTTAATTTCATCGAAATCTCTTAAGATTTACACCAGATTCTTACTTGTAACTGAACCCAGGCATCAGGTTAAATAATTTTGAGAGATTACTCTCATTTTTATCAATCTTATGATTCTTCCGTGTCCTAGTCGTTAAAAGCTGGTTTACCTATTTTTCATATCTAAACTAATCTTTTTCCGCTTATGATGTTGAGGGAAGGAGGAGCTGAAAGCTCCGACTCTAATCTTATGTCTATTCATCTGGGCCAACGTGGGACTCTGCTTTCGAGATGGGTTTGAAGCTCCTAAATTTATGAATCAGCTGGAAGATTATCTACCTACCACTTCAGTCAGGACTGAGGTCAAAGCACACTACTTTATTTTTGAAGAGGCTGTTGGACCTCACTGTGTCTGAAATTACCGATTTCATGATGAGTTTTAACCCTATTTTTCATTCCAAAGATCATATTTGTGTTATGAGCATGCATAGTGGGCCTTCTCTTACTAATTATTTGGTCTAAGCACAGCAATTAAGACACCAAGACTTACTGATTAGGGGTACTTTTCTCCTGAGCTTCTGCCCAGAGCTACTACGTTTCTCTAATTCTAGATCAGCATTTAGGTTTCTGTCCATTTTTATTTCCAATTTTTAGTATTCTTACAGGGGTTTTGGGGTTTTGGGGTTTTGGGG